AGATCCGGAACCTTGGGAAGACTCTTCGCAAACTATTTAACCGGGCACGGCGTAAAAAGAATATAAGAAAATCGTTCGAAAAGCCAAACGAGACTCCTGGAAAATTTTCTGTGAACAGGTAGATATCGTAAATGACGTATCGATGATAAAAAAAATTGCTATTCAAAACTCATGTCCAACCGGAATCTATGATCGATGACACGGGCAATTAAGAGTGGCAATTAAGAGCTTTGCTCCCTATAAAGCTGCAGGGCCGGATGGAATTTTCCCGGCACTTTTGCAGATGGAGGCGGGACTGGTTTCCGTACATCTGTCACAGATATTCACTGCACGCTTAAAATTGGCATATACCCCAGTTAAATGGCAGGATGCAAGGGTAATATTTATACGTAAGACTTATCGACTGATAAGTCTTACGTCCTTCCTACTTAAAACCTTGTAACGGATAGTCGATAGCATGGTTAAAAGCAGTATACCATACAAAGACCTTAAATATAAGCAGCATGCTTATGTAAAGGGACGATCGGTGGAAACCGCTTTAAACGAAATCGTCCATTACATAGGTGAATCTTTCGATAGCAAACTGTTTACACTGGCGGTATGCATTGACATCGAAGGCGCTTTCAATAACGTGCACACTGATACCCTTATCCAATCCCTAGACCAGTTTTATGTTGACCGGGTGCTCCGTAACTGGATCAACTACATGCTAAGGAACAGATGGATAAGCTGCGAGATGTACGATATAACTATCAGGAAAAAGGTATTTCGCGGTATACCACAGGGTGGCACTTTGTCACCTTTACTCTGGGTTACCACGATTAATAGCCTCCTAAGGACCCTAACCGAGAAAGGACTTAGACCTATCTGCTATGCAGACGATGTCGTAATAAGAAGACGGAAATCTGTTTTTTCACAAGAAAGACAAAAATTTCTACATATACTGAACCTTGCTTCTGGGCAAGAAGATACCGGTGACAAACAAAGTTAAGTACTTAGGTGTAATACTTGACCGGAAATTAAAATGGAGACACCACATAGAGGATAGGATCAACAAGGCACATCGGTGCTGGGCGATATGTAGGAGAACCATAGGCATGAAATGGGGTCTTAGTCCTACTATGACAAATTGGCTTTATAAAAGTGTAATTAGACCAATTCTAGCTTATGCTTCAATAATCTGGTGGACTGCTTTGGACAAAAAGTGTAATATCAAACTACTACAGGGAGTTCAGCGTACATGCTGCTTGGGTATAAGTGGCACCATGTGTACTACTTCAACCAAGGCTCTGGAAACGTTGCTAGATATTCCACCCATTGAAACATATTTAAGGTATGAGGCGGCGCTTACAGCCGAACGGCTCCTTACTTTAGGCGAACTGGCCAAAAACGGTTATAGGACACGTCCACTGTTGCCAGATTTGACGATTTATCGCCATTTTGACGATTTTCACTGTCAAAAATGGCCTGTTGACGATTTGTCGATTTTAACTCTAAATTTGACGATTTTTTAAAATAGGATTTTTGTACTAATTTTAATACATTTTATCATTTTTCTAACTATAATTTTAAAGAAAATCGATGTATTTAGAATATCCAATGAAAATGTTAATAAAATCAAACATTATAATGTTTTAGAGTATGTCCATTGATCAAATGATTTACCTAATAACGAACTCAAATATTTTTGAGAATTTCTTTTTTTGGGCCAGCACTTAGGGGTTATTGGATCTACAATAATTGGTAGTGGGAAGAAGGGTAGAGGAAGTAGTGTTTTTGGACATTTGATTTAAAGGAGGAAATTTGTTTTGCATACGAATAATTGAAACAGTTAATATACATACATTTACTAGAGATCATATCAAGTTAGCTTGCAAGAACTTAATGTAAAGTATTTAAAATAATATTTTCCAAATTAAACATATAATAAACAAATGCATTCGTAATTCTGCTCTGGGTGGAGGAAGATCGTCGTGCGTAGTTGCCCTTATCGCTTAAGGGCAATCAGGCCGTCCTTTTTGCCCTGCCTTCGAGAGTTTTACGTTTCAAACCGCATTGGTCAAATGTGTGACGTAAAATAACTGTACCGAGTTACGGTTTTTTGAAGTGTATGTTGACCATATGCATTCGTGTTAACTTAACCTAAGTTTCAATTTTGATTTTGGTGGAGAACCAAAAAAAAACTCAATTTGATATTCTGTCCAGTCGTACTGGAATAATTGGTGTTGGCGTTATAATCTTTCGATTCGGCCAAGAAGTCTTAGCTGCAGATGCATCTAGCAAACTTGAAGTACAAACAAACAAAACTAAAATCTATCGAAATTGATAAAAATTTCTCGATAGCTAAAATAATTATTATAAAATCGTAAAAATGCCATCAAACATGTATATTATATAAATGGAAAATAGCTTTGACGATATAATGACGATTTCGAAAAATCAGTTGACGATTTTGACGATTTTTTCCTCGAAATTTGACGATTTTACATCCAAATCATCTGGTAACTATGGACACGTCATCAATGTATACTGGACATATTGGAAGGTTATACACATTCATCGGACGTGCCTGATCGCATACCAGACACAGAATAGGTCGGAAACTTTGAAACGCTAATCCCAGATAGAATGTCTTGGTCAAGCGGAACATTAGAGCAAATACCAGTAGGAATCCGTTGCTACACGGTTGGCTCTAAATTAGGGCACAAAGTGGGCCTGGGGTTCTATATTGAAGACCCAGAAACAGAAATATACCACCGTTTACCTAATCATTACACAAGCTTCCAGGCAGAAGTACGAGCAATAACGGAATGTGTAGATTGGATTAGAATAAATATGGCGCCCACAGCGCTTAATATATTTACCGACAGCCAGAAGGCAATTAGGACGATATCAGGCGATAGAACTAAATCTAAGACAGTATTGGATTGTAAGAAAGCTTTAACTGAATACTCTCCCAGAGGTAAGGTTCACATCATATGGATACCAGGCCACTCGGTAGTAGTCGGCAACGAAAGGGCGAATGTAATAGCTTTAAAGAGAAGGGAGCTCGATGTAGTTAACCTGACAAACACAAAACCATTCGACGCAACAAAAGCTGAATTAAAAATATGGATGAGAGAATCCCATAAGGCCTCTTGGAATAATGAAACGGTGGGTAGAACCACAAATATTCTATGGGGTGACCCTGATGAGAGCAAGACGAGAAATCTCCTCAAAATGAGCAAGTCTGAGGTTAGTATGATGGTACGTATTCTGAGTGGACACACAGGATTACGTGCACATCTATACAAAATTGGACATGGGGATTCAGACGAATGTAGAGCATGTGGAGGGGACAGTGAAACTCTGGAGCACTTTCTTTGCCACTGTCAGGCATTCGTCGAAGTAAGATCCAAGTATCTTGGAAGTGATGTTATTCCGGAAATAACTTTCTTAACCAACACCGATTGGAAAATTCTTTGGAATTACGTCCAGGAAACTGAGTTTCTGAACATGGAAAAATAATACATTCAGTGAAAATTTTTTTTTTCATGAATTGGAGCGCACAACAGGCCCGATAGTGGCCTAGGTGTATTTCTTCGGATTTGATGTAGTATACATCCTCCTATCAACCTAACCTAACCTATCCGTTTATGGAACAGACTTCCAATTGAATACAAATAATTAGCAATGCGAAAATATTAAAAATTAAATAACAAAACATTTCTCACAATAAGAACATAAATGTACATAAATTCAAATAATTCATGTTAATATCATGTAAATGTATATTAATTCCAAATTTAATGTTTCTATATTGTATGTTTATAACTTTATGTAATCCCAGCTTTAAATTAAAAGATATATGTATATCTTGTTGAATGAGAAGAACAATAAATAAATGAAATACTAATTATGGGTCCACTTCCTATTGACCAACTCGAACTAAACGTCAGACCATTTAAATACACTGATCCGGACTATTTTGGCCCTTTGTCTGTAGCTATTGGCAGGCGTTCTGAAAAAATGGGAGGCACTCTTTACTTTCCTTACAATTCGGGCAATACACTTGGAAGTAGCCCATGACTTATAAACCGACTCCTACATTATTGCTATGCGGAATTTCATGAATCGCTGGGGTGTTCCAGTACGATTACGTTCTGACAACGGAAACAAATTTCATTGGTGCTAATGAAGAGGCTAAAGGTTTTACAGAAGTTTTTGAAGCCGAAAAAATGGTAAAGGTGTTGAGTGGAGTTTTAATTGCTCAGTAAATCCGTTTGAGGGTGGAATATGGAAAAGAATGGTCCAGTGCGTTAAGAAAGTGCTCCGGAAAACTTTAAAAGATGTTTCGCCTAAGGAACATGTTTTGCAGTCCTTTTTAATAGGAACAGAAAACATTGCCAATTCACGCCCATTAACGCTCTTGCCAATAAGCCTTGACACCAAATCTCTTCCTTGATGGGTATAGAAATGTGGTTCAAACATGTGATGAGGCAGATAGTAAGTTCTGTAGTCTTACGCCGTGTCTATATTAGACAAATATTTATCACAGCACTTGAAAAAACGTCGACAGAAAAATGTTCAGTTTTTTGTTTACGTTAATGCATAGGAGTTTCAAAATGCTGATTTTATCACGACAACTCACAGATAATTTTACTGAAATAATGCTACATTTTACAGAAACAATTGAAATTAAATGCAAACTTTGTAAATAAACACTAATTTCACTAAATCAATCAATTATAATTGCACAAAAACAAAATTCTATACAAATTTTACAATACAATGACGTTTTTTTATCAAGACAAAGTTGTCTAAACATTGTCATAACGACGCTATAACGCTAACAAATGCTGTCTATACCTGCTAATTTTTTATCATAATAACATTTTGACGTTTAGTATAATAAATATTTGTCTTATATAGACACGGCCTTAGAAAACACTGGCGTGTTGCAAGGAGACTTCGTGACAGATTATGGGTATTTTGAAAGCCCCAAATAAGGAGAACTTTGCAAAGGACTGGGGCTGGTCCAAAACTAATCTAAGGACCATTTAATACACACATGCATTACAACTGAATATTAAAATTATGGGAGTACATGGTCCACGCAGGAAATGATCCATTGCCTGTATTTCACAGCACTACTAGGGAAGTAGTTTTGGGTTTACCAAAATGACCCATGTACTCCAATTATTTTTACAGGGATCTAGTACATATATATTTTTTAATTGTATGAAATTTGAGTTTTGAAAATCCGAAATTATGATACTTAAAATAATTATTGAGTATATGTTTTATCACCAAATTTTCGAATGAAAAACTCTTCTAAACTAATATACTTTTTCTGGGAACTATTTTTTAATTTCATATTGTTACTTTCTTCTAAAACACTGGAAATAGGTTGTTCCTGAGCACCGGCAATAACTGAATATTCGGAAAATCCTGAGGAATTCCCATGCTCCTGATGAATTTGTAATATGTTTGATAATAGACCTATGTGAAAAATTGATTTTAAATTAGACATACTAACTTTTACTTTATTGATTATATAAAAAAGAGTCTTTGTAGACTATAAATATATCTCACCGTTACTAGAGTTAGCCATTTTAATACTATGATCATTATTAATAAATGAATTTCTTTGTGTATGAATCCGTTTATGCTCATGAGTGTTAAAAAAAGAGTCCTTCGTATTGTCATCCACAGTTGAAATTTGTTTTTCCTCATTTGTTGCAACGGAATGTGATGGTGTTCTTTCTCTATTTAAATATCTTTTAGAACTTTGGGATATATTACCATTAGAAATTTTATAGCGCATTAAATTTTTTTGAACACTTTCCCAAGTTGGTTGATATGGCAAGTCTGAACCGTGATTTATAATGTTACTTAAATTAGCACTCCCTGTGCTGGCATTGCGTACAATTTTTTTTGAAATGGAATAATGTTCATGCTTAGATTTTTCTTTCAGGGGTAGTGTTTGGGGAGTAAAAGAAGGATGTAAGCGATTTGCAAGAGTTTCTTTATAATAAAGTCGTGGATTTTTAGTTGTGGTAGTTGAGAGCATCTTTGGAGTTGTAATTAATATTTGTTGCAAATTTCGCTTAGTAAAAAAGTTTTTAAAATATTTTTTGGTGTTTACTGTTGCATTATGTTCGTATATTTTAGGTTCTATAGAAGTCTGTATTATGCCATTAGAAGATTCGACGAATAATTCTGCAAATATTCTTTATTGCCTTTTATTGCTTCGAATTTTGGAGCCTCTTTAACAGAATTTATGTTGGTGGTTATAACTTCCGTTAAATTACTTATTTTAAGATCAGTTTTGAAATCATCTTCGGCATATAATTCGGAATTATCAACATTTCCTTCTGTATAATTTTTGCCAATAAAATGTTCAACATATTTTATTGTACTATTACTTGTATTATTGCTTCTAATGACTATTACTTGGTCGTTGTCGTATAGTGAATTGATCTTAAAATATATAAAAAATAAGGTTTATTTATTAAAACACGTTATCTAGAGGTGTCGAAAAATATATATATGTATGTAAACTTTGCTCAAATGGGTCTTATTTTGTTTATTTACGGGAACCCCTTGCCGAAATCGATTAAAAATCTTTAAATTGAAAACTTTTATCTAGAAGATAAGATTTTATTTATATTTAAAAAATATAATTTTGAAAAATATATAATAATTACACTATCACACAAAATAAAGTGCAAAAGTGCTCATACTATATTATTTCAGCGAAAAATCTGTTAAATGATTATTGAATATAGATTTTTTTTAAATTCATTTAGTTTATATACAATGCTACAAAAATAACAATAAAACAAATTTATTCCACCTAAAATTTTTCTGTACACAATACCCCGGTTTGCGTCGCCTCGTTCTGCGTCTGCTTCGAAGTTGCGTCTTTTTAAAATTTCTGTGATTTCGAAGTTGCGTCGTTTTTGTTTCAGTTTGCGTCACATGTTTTGAAGTTGCGTCGTTAGTGCTTCGATTTGCGTCGTTAATACGAAAATGTTTGTACAAAGCTAAAACAGACAAAGGGGATTTCCCGTTTAAATCTAGTGCAAATTCGAAGTTGTGTCTTTATAAAATTTCTGTGACTTCGAAGTTGCGTCGTTTATGTTTCAGTTTGCGTCGTTAATGTGAAAATGTTTGAACAAAGCTCAAACAGAAAAAGGAGATTTCCCGTTTAAGTCTAATGTTAATACATACATAGATATGTATTTATGTTGTCTGATGGTAGCAAGTTGTAGGTCGTTAGTAGTTACAAATTACATTTGCTGAAGTGAAGTTGATCTAAATATTTTGCAGCAATGAGTCAAAAAAGAAAGCAATTATGCTTAGAACAAAAGCTTGACATTTTAAAACGTTTTAAATCAGGAGAAAGGGCTGTTGATATTGGAAGAAACCTTGGACTAGCCCCTTCTACAATAAAATCCATTTGTTCCAGAGACGCTGATAAAATTAAAAAAATTTGCTGAAACCGCATCATCGTTACAACATAAACAGGTTACCAAAATGAGAAGTTCTTTAATGGAAAAAATGGAGTCACTTCTTAACATTTGGATAGAAGATCAAAATCAGCGAAGAATGCCATTAAGTCAAATGGTAATTCAAAAGAAAGCACTAACTTTATTTGAAGATCTGAAAGAAGATTATCCATTATCAAGTGCCGAAAGTGCGGAAGAATTTGATGCAAGCAGAGGTTGGTTTGACCGTTTTAAAATCCGTGGAAATTTGCATAGCATTGCAGTGCTGATACTTCAGCTGCAGAAAAGTTCAAACTTGAATTAAAAGCAATTATTGAAGAAGGTGGGTATTCTGCACAACAAGTTTTAAACGCTGATGAAACGGGAATTTTTTGGAAACGTTTGCCAGGAAGAACGTACATTTCTAAATCCGAAAAATCTTCGCCAGGTTATAAATCTAGCAAAGATAGACTTACACTTCTTTTGGGAGGAAATGCAGCGGGAGATTTTAAATTTAAGCCATTTTTAATTTACCACTCTGAAAACCCGAGAGCTTTTAAAAATTTTAAAAAGAGCGAGCTTTCTGTTCATTGGAGTGCAAATAAAAAAGCATGGATGACTGCATCCTTATTTAGAGATTGGATGAACAATTGTGCTGCTCCCGAGCTAAAGGCTTATTGTTCTTCAAAAAATATTGAGTTTAAAATGCTCTTGTTAGTTGACAATGCACCAGGTCATCCTGTTTTTTCAGACGATTATTCGGAAAATATTGTTATTTTTATGCCCCAAATACAACATCTGTGATACAACCAATGGATCAAGGTGTTATATCCAACTTCAAGTCATACTATCTGCGTCGAACATTTCATCAACTTCTAAAAGCAACTGACGGAGATAACATGCCATCCATGAAAGAGTTTTGGAAGAATTACAATATCCTGATGGCTATTGAAAATATAAACCTATCTTGGAAAGAAGTAAAAGAATCGTGCATGAACGGAACTTGGCGTCAATTATGGTCCGAATGTGTTCTCAAAGATATGGAAGATATTAATGATGTTCCACACACATGTAAAGAACTTGCAGAATCAGCTAGAAATGCAAATTTTTTATGGAATGGAAGAACAAGATATTAATGATCTCCTATTATACGACCCAGAGTTAAATTGTAACCAAAGTTTGACTACAATTCAACGTAACAATACGCTGGACAATCAAATACTTCCGCTTCAGGTCGAAGCAGAAGAAAAAAAGCTTACTGCTGCTAAAATTTCTGAAGCGATGCTGCTGATATCACAAGCAATGGACATTTTTGAAAACAATGATCCGGACGAAGACCGCAGTTTAAAAGTGTCTAGAAATGTGACCGAAGTTATAAATTGTTATAAACAAATTTATTTGAAAAAAAGCGTTACAATCCAACAATCCACGGTGGGGCAGAATCGAAATTTTTTGGAAATAAATCTGGCATTTCTAAACGGCTGATCCGATCGGTATATAATTGGCGTGAGCGTAGCCAAGGAGTATTCGAGTTTAAGTTTTGATGATGAACCCCGCAGATGCCCCAGCGACGGCGCTATGGCGGCTCAAAGTAGGGTACCTACGACATGTAAAATTTTTAAACTCGTGCCATTTTTTTGTTTTTCATCCATTTTATATTTTCTGAAAGCGCTCGACGAGATCTTGAAAAAACATGCTTGGACATACTACTTACCTCTTATGATATCCGAGTTATAGGCATTTAAAAATTTAGTGATACAAAATTTACCATACCTTGGTCCGCCTTTTTTTGAAAACCGGGCGTAATTTTGGACCAAATGGACTCAATTTTTTCTTGTTTATTAGACAACAAAATTTCCAATAATATACAAAAAATTTCAGATCAATATCATTTACAGATCCAAAAATATACGTTTTTTAATTTAAAAATTCAAAAAATTTTAGATTTTTTCCGTTTTTTTGCCAAAAATGTGTCTTAACTTTTTTATTAATAAAATAAAATTTTCTTTAAGAACATATAACAATTTTATAGTTTTCTAAAAGGTATCTTTACGCAGAACGCTTTGGCGTAAAAAACTTGTCCTAAATGTTGCCACTGCGTCCTTCCGAATATGACATATTTTTTATCAAAACTTCAACTTTGGGCGACATGTTCTAAAATCCCAAAGCTGGGATCAGAAAACTGAAAGCAGTTTTGGAAACCTCAATATGTTTTATATTTACTCCAAAAGTATTTCCCCAGCCCTGAAATAAATGTGGACCCCATGGGCAAAAAAGTAAAAAATCCCATTTTTGGGATTTTCATTCCTATTTTTGGGAATTGCGGGATGCCCTTTGACCTCTTCAATTTTTTTTTTGCATTTTCTTATTTGAAATGACAAATTTAACAAGCGTTGAAAATTTCATTTCATTTCATTTTGTTCATAAATAAAGATTTTGTCATATATTACATATTTGTTAAATTTCTAAAACTATGATTTATATCAAAATTTCAATAGGGTCGCAGATAGCTACAACAATTTAGTCCATATTTATCCCTTAATATCATTTTTTAGTTAGATATGGAAATTCTCGACCCTTTACAAAAAATTTCAAGCCAATATCTCAATTACATTCAAAAATATGTTCATTTAAACCTGTGTCCTTTAATTTCATCTTTTTCATATTTTAGTATTAAGTATGACAGATCATACATTTGGTGTTGAATAAAATATTTGGACAATTTTTAAAAATTATTTAGTTAATTATTTTATTAAAGACTATAACAATGTATATACAATAAAAAAATTATAATTTTATTATGAGCCACGCACAACAACACCTAAATCACCCCACACAAACCACCTTTCCCGCCCACCGAAATATAAAACACAATTTAATACAATATCATCAGTTAGTATAATAGCTTTTTTTATTTGAACTGTTTATCTTAAACATAATACAATTAATTCTTACAACCTACTTATATAGTTAATTCCTAACACTACTTATTTTCTATAAAATAATCTGTCATATCGGTATACATATCCAGAAGGTAATATAAATCCTTTAAATCTCCCTTGTTTTGAGATGATAGAGTTTCATAACAAATCCATCTTTTTCGCATAGTTGAAAGAACAGGATCAGAAGATAGAAGTAAACTATTAAAAATATCTTCATTCTGTGATTGCCTGGAGCATTTTCTTGAGCTGAATAGTTGAACATGCTTAAAATCTCGATTCCTCGCTTCCTGGGCTTCTTCTGTTAACTCTCCAAGTGGAAGAATATTCGATTCAATTATTATTTGACCATGACACAATACTTTGTGTACTGTTGGTGTTATTCCCTCCATGGATACAGAGATACAAGTAATTTAGAAATTTCAGATGTATATTCCCCAAATCGATTTCCATTAATTTTATGTTTACTATTCAGTGCCATTAAAATAGTGTTAACTCTTCGAAGCAACTCCTTGTCGATTCCAGTTATTTTTGAAGTAATTTCAAAATCACGAAAAAACCTTCTCGCCGTATTACCGTCATTTGTACTACCGCAACTTGGAAGTGGTTTGTCGATGTTTAATCCCATCTGAAATTTAAATTCTTCTTGGATTCTGCTTTTTTCCGCAGCTCTCAGTTCTTTCAATTCTTCATTATTTTTTGTTGATTTAGTAAGATTCTCTGGCACACTTCTATATTTGAGGTCGTATGCTATGTGTAAAATGTAATCCAAAAATCGTATTCTGGCATGAAGTGGTGAAATTCCGAAAGACAGGACTTCTTCATTAATACTTCTGCTTTTGTTTATATTTGAGAATTGCGACTTTTTCTCATTACATATTGAGCATCTCCAGAAGGAAGAAGTTTCTGTTATGGCATTGCTGACCTTTCCATCAATCATTGTTAAGCTTAGCTGATATGATACGTTAATAGAGTATTCCTTTATTTTTATGCAAATGGGTCTACAAAAATTTTTTGAACCCGGAGTTGTATTGATCCATATATCTTCAAATGAATTTCCGATGCTTGACGATGATGGATTAAGGGAATATGAACGAATTCGTAATGGCACTAATGATGACATAAATACACTTTTGTAGTCTACTAATGTCCGACTTCCACAAGCTTGTTTGTATTCTGGAAGTGCTGATAAACCGTCACAACCCCACTTACACATTAAGACAACATCACAGTTATGAATTTTACTTAGTTGGTCTTCTGAAAAGTCTGACACAATTCTTGATGCTGTGTTTTCGAGCAAAGATGATATACCAATACAAGCTTCCACATCATTAACAGCAATAGGTAGGATAGTTTGTTTTTTTCCTGGATCGCCTTGTATGATGGTAATATATTGTGTCCTTTTTCATGCAGAGCTTTCCTTAATATTTGGTACTTATTTCGACTGAGACCCAGTTCCAACATAAGCTATTGCTTCCTATTCAGTAAAATTTGATTGTGATGTTGGAGTTGGTATACTTTCCACAATTTGCTTAAGTCGTTTTGGTGATGCATTAGGAAGAATAGTTGCAATATGTACGGCATCCATAGGTTGGTTTTCCTTTTTCAGCATTTCGTTAAATGTATCAGCAATTTCCTCATTTGAGATTGAAAAAAGTTTTTGTGTGACCCTCTTTTTTTTACCTTGAACATAAGTCTTCGTATGACTTGCAAGGCGCTCCTGTTGATGTGTTGTAAGTTGAGATTTCCGTAGTAGTTTCCATCCAACTACAAAATTTTAATCGAAATTTCTTTTGATTTCCATCCACAGACTTACTTTTTAATCAAAAAGTTTTCAATTTTTGATATGCCTGTTTTGTCTACTTTTCTACTATATGTAGTTTTTATATAATTTGAAATGTCTTCAATTCTTTCTGGCCCTTTTGAAGATACACTCCATAAACCGGAATACAACTCTTCGTACTTTAATGTAATCTTCATTGTAGATTTATTAAATATGGTACTTAAAATCTGAGAAGTTTACTTATATACCAATTCTTGTCATTTCCGATACAGGTATTCCAAAGTAAAAAATTACGAATTGTCTACCTATTAACATTTAGGACTATATTACTATAACCTGTAATTCAGTCATTGATATTTCTTATTAGTGAATGAATCGAAATTATCATTACCTGTATATTTTTACCTACATGATCATAAACGAAACAGAACGAAATGATCTGTCGAAAAATTTAGGTAAAAAATAGTTATAAATTTCTGAAAATTTAAGCATAATAGGACCTTTCAATTATAAGGATAAGCAAACAAATAGAAAATAGGTAAATATAAGATTTAAATATGTTCTGTCATATTTAATACTAATATATGAAAAATATGAAATTAAAGGATACAGGTTTAAATGAACATATTTTTGAATGTAATTGAGATATTGGCTTGAAAATTTTTGTAAAGAATCGAGAATTTCCATATCTAACTAAAAAAAGATATTAAGGGATAAATATGGACTAAATTGTTGTAGCTATCTGTGACCCTATTAAAATTTTAATATAAATCATAGTTTTAGAAATTAAACAAATATGTAATATATGACAAAATCTTTATTTATGAACAAAACTCAATGAAATTTTCAACAAATTTGTCATTTCAAATAAGAAAATGCAAAAAAAAAATTGAAAAGGTCAAAGGGCATCCCGCAATTCCCAAAAATAGGAATGAAAATCCCCAAAATGGGATTTTTTACTTTTTCAGGGCTGGGAAAATACTTTTGGAGTAAATATAAAACATATTGAGGTTTCCAAAACTGCTTTCAGTTTTCTGATCCCAGCTTTGGGATTTTAGAACATGTCGCCCAAAGTTGAAGTTTTGATAAAAAATAGGTCATATTCGGAAGGACGCAGTGGCAAAATTTTCAAAAAATAGGACAAGTTTTTTACGCCAAAGCGTTCTGCGTAAAGATACCTTTTAGAAAACTGAAAAAAATGGGAGGCACTCTTTACTTTCCTTACAATTCGGGCAATACACTTGGAAGTAGCCCATGACTTATAAACCGACTCCTACATTATTGCTATGAGGAATTTCATGAATCGCTGGGGTGTTCCAGTACGATTACGTTCTGACAACGGAAACAAATTTCATTGGTGCTAATGAAGAGGCTAAAGGTTTTACAGAAGTTTTTGAAGCCGAAAAAATGGTAAAGGTTTTGAGTGGAGTTTTAATTGCTCAGTAAATCCGTTTGAGGGTGGAATATGGAAAAGAATGGTCCAGTGCGTTAAGAAAGTGCTCCGGAAAACTTTAAAATATGTTTCGCCTAAAGAACATGTTTTGCAGTCCTTTTTAATAGGAACAGAAAACATTGCCAATTCACGCCCATTAACGCTCTTGCCAATAAGCCTTGACACCAAATCTCTTCCTTGATGGGTATGGAAATGTGGTTCAAACATGTGATGAGGCAGATGGTAAGTTCTGTAGTCTTACGCCGTGTCTATATTAGACAAATATTTATCACAGCACTTGAAAAAACGTCGACAGAAAAATGTTCAGTTTTTTGTTTACGTTAATGCATAGGAGTTTCAAAATGCTGATTTTATCACGACAACTCACAGATAATTTTACTGAAATAATGCTATATTTTACAGAAACAATTGAAATTAAATGCAAACTTTGTAAATAAACACTAATTTCACTAAATCAATCAATTATAATTGCACAAAAACAAAATTCTATACAAATTTTACAATACAATGACGTTTTTTTATCAAGACAAAGTTGTCTAAACATTGTCATAACGACGCTATAACGCTAACAAATGCTGTCTATACCTGCTAATTTTTTATCATAATAACATTTTGACGTTTAGTATAATAAATATTTGTCTTATATAGACACGGCCTTAGAAAACACTGAGACTTCGTGACAGATTTTGGGTATTCGGGTATTTTCCAACATTAACAAGAAGAGTTAAATGGTGTGAAAGAACAACTCCATTAAGAGATGGCGACATGGTATTTATATGTGAAATATTTTTCTTATATAAATAATGAATAATTGGTACGCATGTATCAACTTAATATAACAATAATATTTTTTGTATTAAATGTTAACAAATTAAACAATATTGTTTTTTATTTTATATTTACACTTTGTAGATACAGCATTTAACTAAAAAATTTTGTTCCGGAACGCTTTTTATAACAAAACAAATATGAGGTATTTACCCTCATATGGGTTGATGCAGCTGATTATATAACGTGTAAATTTTAAAAATTACACCACCGGAGTAAATTTTTCTATTTACAATAAAGATTCTTTGATTCGGTATATAATTTTTCCATATTTTTGACACTTTTATGTTTATTTTTCACAAAAATATTAATTTTACATAATTTTCGGCATAAACTTAAGTATTGCAAAATTTATTTGCCGGAGTAGAATTTTTCATTTGGATCAAACATTATTCCACTCAGGCTATGTTATCTTTATAAAATAAAAAAATTTTATGTTTGGGATTTTAAAATATATCTCATCCCGGGCTTTTCAAGATTTCCAAATCCCGGAAAATGTAAATAAATTTTCATAATTTACCGAAAAAAATCACATTTTCTATTATAATACACTTACGCTTGTATTCATAAAAAATTATTTTGGTGTTAATGCACACAATTGTTAAAGCCCACTTTAGCCTTAAAAACCATTAAAAAACAAGTAAGAGTGCTATATTCGGCTGTGCCGAATCTTATATACCCTTCACCATAGTGTATTTAAAAATATAAATTTTATAAAATTTAAATTTATGTACCTATTTAATTTTCCCGATTATATCATTATTATAGCAATAGCAAAACAAAATGAACAACAACAACGCTAAACGAAATAAGCACTCAAAAAACAAAATACACAAGGCGTAAAACCAACAGACATCCAAACATACGAAACGAAATACACAAAAAACAAAAACAAAATACACAACGCAATGAAACCAACAGACATCAAACATACGAAACTGTACACCAACAAACAAAAATCATATACACAAGGCAATGAAACACACAGCCATCCAAACATACAAAACTGAATACACCAAGAAACAAAAACAATATACACAAGGCAATGAAACACACAGCCATCCAAACATGTGAAACGAAATACTCAATGAATAAGCAGTGTTGTTGTTGTTGCTTATTAACCAAAGCATGAAAAAAATTGTCTTTTTTTATGAAATTTTCAGAGGTTGTCTCGGATTTTTGCTTATATCTCCGTCATTTATGCACCGATTTTGCTGATTTTAAATAGCGATCTTCTCGAAAGCATGTCTAACAGAATTATTGAAGATTCGGATCTCGCCGATATCTGGGGTCCTCTAAAAACTGATTTCAACAGACAGACAGACAGACGGACATGGCTTAATCGACTCCCTTCTCACGAAGGTGAAGGGTATAATTATAAACAGACAATAAACCTACATTAACTATTGTGCTGTTTTTTTTTGTTTAACTTGGAAGCACTGTTCAATTTGGCTGTCATTTTATGTTAGTATTTCGTAAATTTTGCCAAAAATTGGTTAATAAACCTAAAATAAGTTTTTATAAATACAACCGTTAGTATGTATGTATTTACAGAGATCTTCCCAATAAATATTTTGTGCACTTTAAGAAAAAATAATTCTAAAAATAATAAATTTGTACTTTGAATGCATTACTTCCTAGATACCGAGAATAAATACTATATTTAAAACCCGTATTCAGAGGAACATTTTATTTTTAAATTGTTTAATATTTTTGGAGTGCTTTTTATTGAAAAATAACATTTCCATCCAAGATACTTAATATGTAACATTTTGAATTTTGAAACGAATCCTTATTAATATAGATATATGGAAGAATAAATAATATAGATAATAATAATGGTTATAATTTTTTCTAAAAGATAACATTTTTTTACCTTTTATTTTGAAAGCCCCAAATAAGGAGTACTTTGCAAAGGACTGGGGCTGGTCCAAAACTAATCTAAGGACCATTTAATACACACATGCATTACAACTGAATATTAAAATTATGGGAGTACATGGTCCACGCAGGAAATGATCCATTGCCTGTATTTCACAGCACTACTAGGGAAGTAGTTTTGGGTTTACCAAAATGACCCATGTACTCCAATTATTTTTACAGGGATCTAGTACATATATATTTTTTAATTGTATGAAATTTGAGTTTTGAAAATCCGAAATTATGATACTTAAAATAATTATTGAGTATATGTTTTATCACCAAATTTTCGAATGAAAAACTCTTCTAAACTAATATACTTTTTCTGGGAACTATTTTTTAATTTCATATTGTTACTTTCTTCTAAAACACTGGAAATAGGTTGTTCCTGAGCACCGGCAATAACTGAATATTCGGAAAATCCTGAGGAATTCCCATGCTCCTGATGAATTTGTAATATGTTTGATAATAGACCTATGTGAAAAATTGATTTTAAATTAGACATACTAACTTTTACTTTATTGATTATATAAAAAAGACTATAAATATATCTCACCGTTACTAGAGTTAGCCATTTTAATACTATTATCATTATTAATAAATGAATTTCTTTGTGTATGAATCCGTTTATGCTCATGAGTGTTAAAAAAAGAGTCCTTCGTATTGTCATCCACAGTTGAAATTTGTTTTTCCTCATTTGTTGCAACGGAATGTGATGGTGTTCTTTCTCTATTTAAATATCTTTTAGAACTTTGGGATATATTACCATTAGAAATTTTATAGCGCATTAAATTTTTTTGAACACTTTCCCAAGTTGGTTGATATGGCAAGTCTGAACCGTGATTTATAATGTTACTTAAATTAGCACTCCCTGTGCTGGCATTGCGTACAATTTTTTTTGAAATGGAATAATGTTCATGCTTAGATTTTTCTTTCAGGGGTAGTGTTTGGGGAGTAAAAGAAGGATGTAAGCGATTTGCAAGAGTTTCTTTATAATAAAGTCGTGGATTTTTAGTTGTGGTAGTTGAGAGCATCTTTGGAGTTGTAATTAATATTTGTTGCAAATTTCGCTTAGTAAAAAAGTTTTTAAAATATTTTTTGGTGTTTACTGTTGCATTATGTTCGTATATTTTAGGTTCTATAGAAGTCTGTATTATGCCATTTATTAGAAGATTCGACGAATAATTCTGCAAATATTCTTTATTGCCTTTTATTGCTTCGAATTTTGGAGCCTCTTTAACAGAATTTATGTTGGTGGTTATAACTTCCGTTAAATTACTTATTTTAAGATCAGTTTTGAAATCATCTTCGGCATATAATTCGGAATTATCAACATTTCCTTCTGTATAATTTTTGCCAATAAAATGTTCAACATATTTTGTTGTACTATTACTTGTATTATTGCTTCTAATGACTATTACTTGGTCGTTGTCGTATAGTGAATTGATCTTAAAATATATAAAAAATAAGGTTTATTTGTTAAAACACGTTATCTAGAGGTGTCGAAAAATATATATATGTATGTAAACTTTGCTCAAATGGGTCTTATTTTGTTTATTTACGGGAACCCCTTGCCGAAATCGATTAAAAATCTTTAAATTGGAAACTTTTATCTAGAAGATAAGATTTTATTTATATTTAAAAAATATAATTTTGAAAAATATATAATAATTACACTATCACACAAAATAAAGTGCAAAAGTGCTCATACTATATTATTTCAGCGAAAAATCTGTTAAATGATTATTGAATATAGATTTTTTTTAAATTCATTTAGTTTATATACAATGCTACAAAAATAACAATAAAACAAATTTATTCCACCTAAAATTTTTCTGTACACAATACCCCGGTTTGCGTCGCCTCGTTCTGCGTCTGCTTCGAAGTTGCGTCTTTTTAAAATTTCTGTGATTTCGAAGTTGCGTCGTTTTTGTTTCAGTTTGCGTCACATGTTTTGAAGTTGCGTCGTTAGTGCTTCGATTTGCGTCGTTAATACGAAAAAGTTTGTACAAAGCTAAAACAGACAAAGGGGATTTCCCGTTTAAATCTAGTGCAAATTCGAAGTTGTGTCCTTATAAAATTTCTGCGTCTTCGAAGTTGCGCCGTTTATGTTTCAGTTTGCGTCGTTAATATGAAAATGTTTGTACAAAGCTCAAACAGAAAAAGGGGATTTCCCGTTTAAGTCTAATGTTAATACATACATAGATATGTATTTATGTTGTCTGATGGTAGCAAGTTGTAGGTCGTTAGTAGTTACAAATTACATTTGCTGAAGTGAAGTTGATCTAAATATTTTGCAGCAATGAGTCAAAAAAGAAAGCAATTATGCTTAGAACAAAAGCTTGACATTTTAAAACGTTTTAAATCAGGAGAAAGGGCTGTTGATATTGGAAGAAACCTTGGACTAGCCCCTTCTACAATAAAATCCATTTGTTCCAGAGACGCTGATAAAATTAAAAAAATTTGCTGAAACCGCATCATCGTTACAACATAAACAGGTTACCAAAATGAGAAGTTCTTTAATGGAAAAAATGGAGTCACTTCTTAACATTTGGATAGAAGATCAAAATCAGCGAAGAATGCCATTAAGTCAAATGGTAATTCAAAAGAAAGCACTAACTTTATTTGAAGATCTGAAAGAAGATTATCCATTATCAAGTGCCGAAAGTGCGGAAGAATTTGATGCAAGCAGAGGTTGGTTTGACCGTTTTAAAATCCGTGGAAATTTGCATAGCATTGCAGTGCTGATACTTCAGCTGCAGAAAAGTTCAAACTTGAATTAAAAGCAATTATTGAAGAAGGTGGGTATTCTGCACAACAAGTTTTAAACGCTGATGAAACGGGAATTTTTTGGAAACGTTTGCCAGGAAGAACGTACATTTCTAAATCCGAAAAATCTTCGCCAGGTTATAAATCTAGCAAAGATAGACTTACACTTCTTTTGGGAGGAAATGCAGCGGGAGATTTTAAATTTAAGCCATTTTTAATTTACCACTCTGAAAACCCGAGAGCTTTTAAAAATTTTAAAAAGAGCGAGCTTTCTGTTCATTGGAGTGCAAATAAAAAAGCATGGATGACTGCATCCTTATTTAGAGATTGGATGAACAATTGTGCTGCTCCCGAGCTAAAGGCTTATTGTTCTTCAAAAAATATTGAGTTTAAAATGCTCTTGTTAGTTGACAATGCACCAGGTCATCCTGTTTTTTCAGACGATTATTCGGAAAATATTGTTATTTTTATGCCCCAAATACAACATCTGTGATACAACCAATGGATCAAGGTGTTATATCCAACTTCAAGTCATACTATCTGCGTCGAACATTTCATCAACTTCTAAAAGCAACTGACGGAGATAACATGCCATCCATGAAAGAGTTTTGGAAGAATTACAATATCCTGATGGCTATTGAAAATATAAACCTATCTTGGAAAGAAGTAAAAGAATCGTGCATGAACGGAACTTGGCGTCAATTATGGTCCGAATGTGTTCTCAAAGATATGGAAGATATTAATGATGTTCCACACACATGTAAAGAACTTGCAGAATCAGCTAGAAATGCAAATTTTTTATGGAATGGAAGAACAAGATATTAATGATCTCCTATTATACGACCCAGAGTTAAATTGTAACCAAAGTTTGACTACAATTCAACGTAACAATACGCTGGACAATCAAATACTTCCGCTTCAGGTCGAAGCAGAAGAAAAAAAGCTTACTGCTGCTAAAATTTCTGAAGCGATGCTGCTGATATCACAAGCAATGGACATTTTTGAAAACAATGATCCGGACGAAGACCGCAGTTTAAAAGTGTCTAGAAATGTGACCGAAGTTATAAATTGTTATAAACAAATTTATTTGAAAAAAAGCGTTACAATCCAACAATCCACAGTGGGGCAGAATCAAAATTTTTTGGAAATAAATCTGGCATTTCTAAACGGCTGATCCGATCGGTATATAATTGGCGTGAGCGTAGCCAAGGAGTATTCGAGTTTAAGTTTTGAAGATGAACCCCGCATATGCCCCAGGGACGGCGCTGTGCCGGCTCAAAGTAGGGTACCTACGACATGTAAAATTTTTAAACTCGTGCCATTTTTTTGTTTTTCATCCATTTTATATTTTCTGCAAGCGCTCGACGAGATCATGAAAAAACATGCTTGGACATACTACTTATCTCTTATGATATCCGAGTTATAGGCATTTAAAAATTTAGTGATACAAAATTTACCATACCTTGGTCCGCTTTTTTTTTGAATACCGGGCATTATTTTGGACCAAATGGACTCAATTTTTTCAATATCATTTACAGATCCAAAAATATACGTTTTTTAATTTAAAAATTCAAAAAATTTTAGATTTTTGGCGTTTTTTTGCCAAAAATGTGTCTTAACTCTTTTATTAATAAAATAAAATTTTCTTTAAGAACATATAACAATTTTATAGTTTTCTAAAAGGTATCTTTACGCAGAACGCTTTGGCGTAAAAAACTTGTCCTATTTTTTGAAAATGTTGCCACTGCGTCCTTCCGAATATGACCTATTTTTTATCAAAACTTCAACTTTGGGCGACATGTTCTAAAATCCCAAAGCTGGGATCAGAAAACTGAAAGCAGTTTTGGAAACCTCAATATGTTTTCTATTTACTCCAAAAGTATTTTCCCAGCCCTGAAAGAAATGTGGACCCTATGGGCAAAAAAGTAAAAAAACCCATTTTTGGGATTTTCATTCCTATTTTTGGGAATTGCGGGATGCCCTTTGACCTTTTGCATTTTTTTTTATTTGAAATTTAACAAGCGTTGAAAATTTCATTGAGTTTTGTTCATAAATAAAGATTTTGTCATATATTACATATTTGTTAAATTTCTAAAACTATGATTTATATCAAAATTTCAATAGGGTCGCAGATAGCTACAACAATTTAGTCCATATTTATCCCTTAATATCATTTTTTAGTTAGATATGGAAATTCTCGACCCTTTACAAAAAACTTCAAGCCAATATCTCAATTACATTCAAAAATATGTTCATTTAAACCTGTGTCCTTTAATTTCATCTTTTTCATATTTTAGTATTAAGTATGACAGAACATACATTTGGTGTTGAATAAAATATTTGGACAATTTTTAAAAATTATTTAGTTAATTATTTTATTAAAGACTATAACAATGTATATACAATAAAAAATTATAATTTTATTATGAGCCACGCACAACAACACCTAAATCACCCCACACAAACCACCTTTCCCGCCCACCGAAATATAAAACACAATTTAATACAATATCATAAGTTAGTATAATAGCTTTTTTTATTTGAACTGTTTAATTAAACATAATACAATTAATTCTTACAACCTACTTATATAGTTAATTCCTAACACTACTTATTTTCTATAAAATAATCTGTCATATCGGTATACATATCCAGAAGGTAATATAAGTCCTTTAAATCTTCCTTGTTTTAAGATGATAGAGTTTCATAACAAATGCATCTTTTTCGCATAGTTGAAAGAACAGGATCAGAAGATAGAAGTAAACTATTAAAAATATCTTCATTCTGTGATTGCCTGGAGCATTTTCTTGAGCTGAATAGTTGAACATGCTTAAAATCTCGATTCCTCGCTTCCTGGGCTTCTTCTGTTAACTCTCCAAGTGGAAGAATATTCGATTCAATTATTATTTGACCATGACACAATACTTTGTGTACTGTTGGTGTTAGTTCCCTCCATGGATACAGAGATACAAGTAATTTAGAAATTTCAGATGTATATTCCCCAAATCGATTTCCATTAATTTTATGTTTACTATTCAGTGCCATTAAAATAGTGTTAACTCTTCGAAGCAACTCCTTGTCGATTCCAGTTATTTTTGAAGTAATTTCAAAATCACGAAAAAACCTTCTCGCCGTAGTACCGTCATTTGTACTACCGCAACTTGGAAGTGGTTTGTCGATGTTTAATCCCATCTGAACTTTAAATTCTTCTTGGATTCTGCTTTTTTCCGCAGCTCTCAGTTCTTTCAATTCTTCATTATTTTTTGTTGATTTAGTAAGATTCTCTGGCACACTTCTATATTTGAGGTCGTATGCTATGTGTAAAATGTAATCCAAAAATCGTATTCTGGCATGAAGTGGTGAAATTCCGAAAGACAGGACTTCTTCATTAATACTTCTGCTTTTGTTTATATTTGAGAATTGCGACTTTTTCTCATTACATATTGAGCATCTCCAGAAGGAAGAAGTTTCTGTTATGGCATTGCTGACCTTTCCATCAATCATTGTTAAGCTTAGCTGATATGATACGTTAATAGAGAATTCCTTTATTTTTATGCAAATGGGCTCCAGTGCATTTATTTCATCTTTTAAATATTCCACTAAATCTTTTGTTGTTTTCTTTGACTCCTTTATATATTCAAATCCAATGGGTCTACACATTTGTACTACCGCAACTTGG